AATAAACTACGTGCATGCAATGCCGTGGTCAGTTAAGTCATGAAGTTACCAAAAAGGCGATTAAAGCTGCCTTAAAACTGTGCATGCATGTAATATATTTTATATGAGTCACATTTAAGAACATGTCTCTCTGGTTTTCAAAACTGTCCTGGAGCAGCCCAGCACTATCTAACTCCTCTAACACACACGATTTAACTCGTCAGCTCGTGTTTATTTTAGCACTTCAGTCAGTGAATACGCAGCCTGCAAAACACTAAAATAAATATCAAAGAAATAATACAGTTAAACAAGAAAGTAGCCTAAATAAGAAAGTTAAATACACCCTGTCTACAGGACGCGAGCTGCGCGGCGCGACAAAATACTATAAAACTCATTATAATCAGTGATGCTACACTGGATGCAGCACGACACGACATGACAAATCCCCGACAGTTAACCTCGTTCTATTTATGAGGTACTGACACAGAGTTCAAATGTCTTGTGTAGACACTAGACAGACTCAACCTGTTGCGATGCGGCAGTGTCGTGTCCGGTGTAGACACGGTTCACTGTTCCGCTACCGGTATTACACTTGTATACAAAACTTCGTATTATGCTTGTTATAGAGTGCGTGACGTCACGTGCACTACCGCCAGTGGCAGTAGACAACTGCGGTGGTTGTCACGGCGACCGTCACAGCCCTATTTGTGTGCAAAAGAAAAAAAGAAGAAAAAAAAAAACGCGTGTCGCAGCTGACACAGAATAGCATACGCTCCAAATACTACTGATACTCTCCAAAATGGTGCCAGGGTGACGCGGAGGAGATGAATTGTTGAATAAAGTCGTTTTTTTCTTTCTTTTGTGCACAAAAACGGCGGACACAGAACAACATACGCTGTTTGCGTTCAGTGGATACTCTCTAAAATGGCTCTACAGGGTGACGCGGAGGAGACAAATTGTTGAATAAAGTCTTCTTTTTTTTTCTATTGCGCACAAAAAGTATTCTTGTAGCTTCGTAATATTACGGTTGAACCCCTGATGTCACATGGATTATTTTACCGATGTCCTTGCTATGTTTCTGGACCTTCATCATGTAAGGATCCTTGCTGTCTATGGGAGGGTCAGAGAGCTCACGGGATGCATCAAAAATATCTTAATTTGTTTTCCGAAGATGAACGAAGGTCTTACGGGTTTGGAACAACATGAGGGTGAGTAATTAATGACAGAATTTTCATTTTTGTGTGAACCAACCCTTTAACAGACCTGTAATATATACAGCAAATATAATCGATTATTCACAGACACTTGGGGTGTGTCAATACAGGTAAGTTCAAGAACAAAATACAGCAGCTGTTAAGGGGAAAAAAAGATATATGATTCAATTTAAATCTAGACTGTATGTTTTTTAGCATATTTATTTAGATTGTTTTAATATATTAATAATAAATTCATTTAAATAATTTTAAGTCATGTCTGGTTGAGAACCACTAAACAACTGAGGATCTCACACACTACCAGACCTAAGTCATGCAGAGCACAGCAAATACAATGGAGACTCGTGGTAAATGAAAAGACTGGCTCTGACTTTTGGCAACTAGCATCGACTCCTCTACTGACTATAATCAGGTCAAATGTCTGTGCAAAAATCGGGTTATGTATTCCAGCTGTATTTTTGCTATAAAAATGTTTACATTTAAAATAATACACAAAACAAATAATACAATAAAGATCCAATTATAATCACTAAAGCTGTCAATCACTGCAGGTTTATAATGTTTCACACTGTCTAAGTCCTGCAGTTCAGCACAAGCGAACTGACTTACTGGGTGGAAACAGGGTCCCAGATGGCATACTATTTCTAGTGGATTGTTAGGCCAATATAGCTCAACCCTAATATAGCCCAAACCCATTTAACACAGGATAGTTCACAGTCAAGAGACCATAGTCTAGGAATCAGCCTATATCTACGAAGTTAATTATGCACCATCTACTAATATAGTTGTTGTGAGCAGCGAGTATGGACTGCTCATCAATGGCCCTTTTCTGTATACTTCAAACTAATTTATTTCCATTTGCTTTTTGTCTCTTTCAAAAAGAGTAGCTCTTAAATTGGACTGAAAATAAACTGTGCATTTCTGAATGGCAACATGCACAAGGATATGCAGTAGGATCCACAACTAAATGTTTCATTTCAGCCTTTGTGCTGCAGCAAGCCCTACAGCCCTCTCAATCTTTTAAAATTAGATCAATGTAGCTTTTAGAGCTGCCAGCAAACTAGATTACTACATGCTTTATCAAGGAAGGGGGGATGGTAAGAGAGATATCCCACCCAGCCTTGCTTTATTTCTAAGCTATGCATTCAGCTGAACAACTGTTGTAGCCACGGTTTACAACACAACCCATATTTACAGTTCTTTTTGACATTTAATCCCTCTCTAGAAATTGCTGAAATTGACAGTTGTTTCATCTTCCCATTAGCTCTAACAATAAAAAGGATGAAATACACATTTTCATTTTAGCTGTAACATTTAAAACTAATAGCTGCATTTCTGCAATAGACCTTTTCCACACATCCATGTGTTGTTACATGACTCTCTGATAAATGACCAACTTCCTGTGCTCCTGTCAATGGATGGCGGTCAGTTTTGGTAAATCAAATAAACTGTTGGTGACCTTCCCAATAAACCTGTCAACAGTTTCTCTAGCTTGACATAGTATTTCCCCATATATTATCTTATCATAGTATTTCCCTATATATTATATTATCAATTTTAATGTATGACAGTGGTGAATAGGGACGTTATTCTCAGAGAGATCTCTTGCTCAAGAACTAAGTCCTTCCGCTGTGCAGACATGAAAGTGTGATAAAATCTACTGATCTGTATTTCCACAGAGCTGATTTAGCATAATAATCTTATGATCCCCAGCAGTGAGATACCAGAGAAAGATCAGATGCTCAGACACACACGGGTGAGTCCAGCAGGTCTTAAAGGCAGGTTAGCTCAGCAAACACTTAAAGAAATGAACAGGAGAGGAACATCAGAGAAAAGACAGGCTGGTTATTATAGATTGCACATGCATAACTATCTCAATAATGATTAAAGAAGGAAACAAGGAATGGAAATAAATCATATGCTTCAGAATGATAAACAGTTCTCTTATTTCATACATATGACTTATGGCTAATGTTCTAAGTACAGCTACAAGCATTGTGTACCCACAGTGCTCTCACCGAATGACACATATAGGCTTTTTACACTGCGCTTAACCTTGGATTATCATCTTTTTAAAGCTCAATTTTAGAGAAACATCATTTGAGGGAAGATTTGACAGAAAATGTTTTATTGTTACAGTTATGGTCCAAAAAATGTCTATTCAGGACGAATTAGATAGTCAGTAATAAATAAGCCTGATGTGCAGGAGTGAGACAAGCTGTTATTTAAACCGTGATATTGACACCGCAAATAAGAAAGTTAACCCTGGGTTTACGATTGTACAGTACGAAATCTGAATAACCAGGGTTATTTCCTACCTAGAGCAAAGAATAAAAATGTGTGAAACAAAATATCATAACTCAGGTTTCCTATGACCTGCTGTTAACAATGTTAAATAGGGATGCACCGATACCACTTTTTCCAGTACTCGCCCGATACCGATACTTTTATTTTTGGTACTTTCCGATACCGAGGTACCGATACCGATATTTTTATTGCATTTGTACATTTTTTAAATATTGGAATGTTTAACATTATATTCATTGCATACATATACTTCGTAGTAGACATCCTTAACTCCTTTCTGCTGTCTGTTGTTCTGTTGTCGGTGTTTCTTTGTTTGAATATGGCGCTTATCACATGCTGTGTGGCAGCTGCGTTTGGTATCGGGGCATTTTAACGAATACGAGTACAGGAGACCAGTATCGGGCCCGATACGGTGCATCCCTAATGTTAAATATTAAAAGCCCTATATAATTTTAGCGCAACAGATTTTTGGATATACTATGTTTTCATCAGCAGATGCTGCACCATTAATGATCTTCCTTTTGTAACCACTGAAGCTGAACTTCAGTCAACACTCTAGTATTGTTAATTCTGTTTATTTTTCCAAACACTGGCCCTCGATACTCAAGCCCTTAATGAAGTGAGTTCATGTGAACGGGGGGGTTGAGTACTGATATATGAGACAATGTTTGTGTTTAACATCTGAAAGCTGTCTAAGCTCAAGACTATATCACTGAAAGGAAGAGCGCTCAACAGATACGTTATTTCCTTTATAGTAAACGTATTTAAGTAAATTTCTAGTAAAAGTAGTTATTTTAGTTACAATCAATGTCTTTAATATGTTGGGAAGAAATCAAAAGGCCCAGGTGTGCGCACTCTGGAGTTTCTCTAAAGTAGACATATTATAAACTCACAAGTTTAAATAGTCTAGCCAGACAAATATGAGCATGCCGTGACACGTCTCTAAAATGCCCACTCAACTGAAATGTACATATATGGAGAATAAAGTCATTCAGTCAGTGGGAGAATGATTTGTTTATGTTGTGAGCCAGTAAACACAATAATAGGAGTGAATGTGATGAATACATTCTTACTTCTGTATGTCGGTGATAAGCCACCATGCCCAGGCCCAGCCGCCCACTGTATAGCTCTTCCCATCAGAGCCACAGCAACCACCTGAGAAAATAAACACGGCATATTTAGTACAAATACACATTCCACACTAATATCATTTTCAAACTCAAACATGCTTGCAAACATTTGTGGTAATCTAGAATGGCAATCTAACATTAAAGCAAATACTTTGTTAATAAATATTCATTTTAAATTGTCTTTAAAAAACTCAAACCACATTTTTCCATTGTAATAATCTAAATCTTTCAGCCCATTTCACAAGCTATTGGTCAGTCACCACTTTCACCACCTACAAAAGGTAAAAACCTCACACATGCCTCACCAAACTGGTTTATAAACTGTAAACTGAACAACAACTTCATTATAACCACATGCAATGAAAATCATCGGAAAGCCTCAACGCACCGTTACAGGCTAACCAAACCACTATGGTGGTTAAATGTTTACAGAAATTAGCTCAATAATCAACTAGCTGTTTCAAACAAAACTATTTGTGCATCTGTGAAGGTCTACACAGTTCAAAAGTTTGGGATGTAAGATTTATTTTTAAAAAAAGTAATAGTTTTATTCAACAAGGATGCATCAAATGTAACAGTAAAGACATTTATAATTGTTATGGTTAAAATTATAATCATTTCCACAAAAATATTAAGCATCACAGCTGTTTTCAACATTAATAATAAGAAATGTTTTTTTTCAAGCACCAAATCAGCATATTAAAATGATTTCTGAAGAAAATTTAGTTCTGCCATAACAGGAATAAACTACCTTAATGAAATATATTAAATACAAAAACAGTTATTTTAAATTGTAATAATATTTTACAATATTACACACTGAACTTTTTTTCATCAAATGAGTGAGCAGAAGAGATTTCAAAGATTTTTTATTTATTTTATTTATTGTAAATCTTACTGACCCCAAACTGAATGATAGTGTACATGAACACAGAATTACGATTCAATTACTAAGGTGGGACTAGTTTGATTATGCGGTTTACTGAATCCCAAGGTCATAATTTAAACTAAATGTCTGTTATTGTTTGCAAGACAAACAAACAAAATACTCTTCACTCATATAAATATATTTTCCATCAATAGCGGATTAAATCATACACATCTTTTGGCCACATGAACATGCACATCCTATTTGCCTTTAATTTTCATTATGTAAAATACAGTCTGTTGCTCATGTTGTGATTTGGCTAACAAACTAATGCTATGGGAGGCAAGCAATTAGAACGGTAAGAGTAAAACAGACCTTCCAGTTCTCCATGATATTAAGTTTATGAAGCAAGATATTTAGGCTATGCGTCTGTGCAAATATAGATATTGTTGGGTCAACCATGACAAGTGACCTGGACTTCAGGGAGATAACCTAGGATTTATTACATTCAGCTGTCAATGTTACAACATCCATTCATGTTGCCTGAAGGTTATGCATCAATCTGGACTCCTGATGTAAAGTATAAACAGTAGGGGCCTGTAACCATTAGGAATGTGAGATATGTGAGGAACTCCCTCACAAATCTATGTATATGGGTCTGGTCCCCAGACCATTCAAGTCAGAGCTTGTCTCTCTTCATGTTGCAATGGAGGTACTGGAAACTATTCCAACAAATTCCCTGCATGTCATCAGCTATTAGTGTGCAATTCTCAGCTGTTGTTTAATCACTTGCACAACTGCAGTCAGATCAATCACGTGAAAGACAGATGAATTGGCCCATTGAAGTTTCTGTCATGTGACTTTATTTCATGAAACATGACCAATGTGGACACAATTTTCAGGCAAGTTAAGCAAAGAATAAATAACCCTGCAATACCTGCATGAAACTGTAGTTAGAAAAAATTGTAGCTGGCAGATCATTTAAAATAAAAGAACTAGCAAATTTTGTGACAGTGACACTAAAGTGTGTGCTATGACTTCCTGTAGTCTGATATCTGGGATGCATGCCTCTATCACAGTGGTTCCCAACCCTGGTCCTGGAGGCACCCCAACACTGCACATTTTGTCTCCTTTCTCTGACACACCAATTTCAGGTCTTATGCCGAGTTCACACTACATGATTTTCAAACTCGTCGGATCGCCGTTGTTTTCACACTGCGTGACTATCTGGGGTAGCATTCAGTTGCTGCTTTGTTCACATTGCACGATGGATCGGCGACAGAGGGTTTCACATTGCATGACTTGACAATAGGAAGAATTGCCGACAGCTCCAGATATTTAGCATGCCAAATATTTTGCGGGCGTCGGTGACGTGTCGGCGATTCCCTCAGATCGCGTCTTTGATAATTCACACTGCGTGATTATCACTTGCGTGAACGAGCGCCGATTTGCCTCCGATTTCGGGCATTTGTCGGCGATTTCGCAAAACCTGTCGGCAAGTGAAAAATCGGGCTAAAATCGTGCAGTGTGAACTTGGCATTCGAGCAGGGATCCTCAAGTCTGGCCCACGAGATCCACTTTCCTGCAGAGTTTAGCTCTAACCCTAATCAAACACACCTGAGCATGCTAATCAATGTCTTCAGGATCATTAGAAAATCACAGGTAGGTGAGTTTGATCAGGGTTGGAGCTAAACACTGCAGCGCATTGGCCCTCCAGGGCAAGAATTGAGGAACCCTGTCTTACCCTGCGTTCCATTCGGAAGGGCTCATCCTAGGCCTGGACGATATGGCCAAAATTGATATCATGATATATTTCTTAATTTCGGTCGATACGATATAATTCCGATATCGATATGAACACTATTTATCT